TCTAAGACTATATCGAAACACCTGGACTCGATCCACCAAACGTAATATTGAAATTAATAATAACTTGATGTCAATCAAAATCCAAAATTTAATTCACCGGCACCCCCGACACCGTCTTTCATATTTCTTCTTTTCATACTTCCCAAGACCAATAAAAAATCGAACAATTTTCAACCTCAAGGCATTGAACAAGTACATGAAACAGTCGTTTTCACTTTTTCCACCATAAACGAGTTCCCAAGGTTTATAACAGATTGGAATGTCAAACTGGATTTGAGCCAGGCTTATTATCTATCAATGAGGTTTCTCGGGATCAGTTATCAGGGTCGTCTACTCTAGATGATATGTCTACCATTCGGCTTAGCTGCACCACCGCGGATTTTTGCTTCAATGACAAACTGAATAGCCGAAATACTTCGCCAGAAGGGTCTGCGATTAGTGGTTATCTGCTTGTACACCAGGGCAGAACACCTCCCGCCATCGGAGCAGAGCTCATCCATATTATCTGGAACCGCTGCGTTCATTGACAGTGCGTTTCCAGAGGTCTTTTTTGCCACGTACCATCTGGCTATGGAATGAGCTCCCTCCACGGTGTTTCCCGAGCGCTGTGACATGTCCTTCTTCAAACGAGGCTTGTGGAGAGAATTAAGCAGTAGACAGCGGCTTGGCTCTGCCCCTGGCGTTGCTGAAGTCCATGGGCGACTGTATCTACTCACCTTCAGGTGGGCCGTATGCTCGTCTGCCTACAAGGGCAAAAGACTTGTTGAGATTTCAAGTAACTATACTGAGTCCTTAGAACTCATATCTCAAGGTTGGTGGCGGCATTTACGCTGTAGATGTCTATGGCCTCCAGTAACCACTTAGCACCAGGTAAGCTGTAGACTCGTCCACCCATCTCAGCAACCGGTTATGACACTGACGAGCTTGATAGACTTTCTGGGAATCGTATGGGACACCAAATCCAAGACAAAGTCCTTGCCCAAGAATTTGCTCGTGCGATTTGCTGCCGGCGGTTGGAACCTAAAGCAGGCGCAAAGCCTCTTAGGATATCTCAACTTTGCGACTTTCATCACCCACCGGGGAAAGTTGCATTGCCGAATCCTTGCAGTACCACAGCAACAAGCTCAGGAGGTATCCTCATTTACCAAAGCAGTATTCGGACGAGGTACGTACAGAGCTGGATTGGTGGTTAGAGAAAGTCAGTCAGAGGACACCAATTCATCCACAGAGAATGGCCACGAACCACGTCATCACCGACGCGTCGGACATTCAGTGGGGAGCCCTTGTAAACAACAGAACAGAATTTTCCTACATAAAGAACGAGGGAGGAACCCGGTCACGATAATTGCTAGATCTGACTGGAAAATTGCTTAACTTAATAGACCACCTCAAAGTTGTACTTCTCCCTCACCACCTACCGGGACTGTACAACACTGAAGCCGATCACCTCTTACGCAATCGCGGCGGCTTGGAGTGGTATCTCACAGAAAAAGCAACTACTAGGCTATTCAGCCTGTGGGGAACTTGTTCGCGTCTCGGAC